CTTTGTAAAGGCAGGAAGGGTTTCAAGGGTTTCACCCTGAGAGATGAAAATACCCTGGCACAGAGAAGCTGTGGTTGCCCCCTCCCTGGAAGTGTTTAAGGCCAGTTTGGATGGGGCTTTGAGCAACCTGGTGTAGTGGAAGGTGTCCCTGCCCATGGAAGGGGGGTTGGAACCAGATGGTCTTGAAGGTCCCTTCCAACCCAAACCCTTCTCTGATTCTATCATTTTACGATGTCCTAGGATGAATGTATGCTGTGACATGAGGACCCCAATGCCCACAGGGAGCTATCAGGGACAAGGCACACTGCCTTGCAATACATTATGAAGTATATATTATAATGGCTTTTAAGTCTCTTACCAGCACTGCCTGGTTGCAACATGACCATTTGGTACCAGAGTGAGTCACTAAACCTTTTTCATGCCCTAGAAACACTGGACTGTACATGAAGCAGTGATCATAGCCGTCTTCCTTCCAAAAGATGCTTAAATGAAAAAAGGTGTTGGTGGAGGTCTACTTTTTACCAATTTGTTTTGTACGGAGAGAATGTTACAGGGGAATACGAGACCTGATACAATGCCAGCCTGCATTGTGGTGGGTTGACCTTGGCTGCATGCCATCTGCCCAGCAAGACACTCTATCACTTCCCTCCTCAAGAGGATAGCAGGGGGAGAAAATAAGATGAAAAACCCCTCATGACTCAAGATAAAGGTAGTTCAATAAAGCAAAAGCAAAGGCCGCATGTGGAAGCAAAGGAAAACAAAAGATTTATTCTCTGCTTCCCATCAGCAGGTGATGTCCAGCTACTTCCCAGGAAGCAGGACTTCAGTATGCATAGTGGTTGCTCCAGAAGACAAATATCATAATAACGAATGCCTCACCCTGCCCCCTTCATCTTAGCTTTTGTTGCTGAGCAGATGTTGCATGGTATGGAGTATCCCTTTGGTCCGTTTGAGTCAGCTCTCCTGGCTATGTCCGCTCCCAAGATCTTGCCCACCCCCAGCCTGCTGGAGAGACAGCCTTGATGCTGTGTGAGCACTGCTAAGCAGTGGCCAAAACACTAGTGTGTTATCCATACCTTTCTAGCCACAAAGCACAACACTGTTAGCACATCATAGCAGATGAGGGCTGCTATGCGGAAAATTTACTTCATCTCAGCTAGACTCAATACAATAGCCAACATTTATGAAGAAGGTACTGTAAGCACTAAAAAAGACATTGCTATTTGGGACTGGTGAGGAAAACATTCTGTGCTCCACCCATCAGAGGTATGATCATTTGGAGAGAAAAAGAATGTAAAATTCCTTGAAGCAAATAAGAGCAGATTAATGTCTCTGTAGCACAGCACAGGACATCTTGAGTTTCCTGCTCCAAAGCATTGCTTATACCGTCATCAATCTAACAATTGTTATTACCTCTCCAGATCTTGTCTTTTTTAAGTACCAGTTATTCATTTCACACTAAACTACAATGGATTAAAATTCTGCCATATTTCTCGGAACAGAACCAGCTATTAATATACATTGGAAGTAACCTGGGAACCTAAAACTTGTTTTTGTCAAAAAAAATGCCCTGAATGTACTTGTGGCAAATGGGAATGTGGATCTGACCCTCCTTTACCAAAGAAAAACATTCAGTGAAGGTTTTCCATACACTGGCAAAAGCTGTCTTCAACCGTGATTGCGACTTGTGGCTGGTGAAGGTCATGGACATCGCATGTAAGAACTGTGCAATTAGCTCTGGATGTGGTACTCTCCATCTGTGCAGACACCTACATGCATTGCCAGAGGCCTCCGACTCTGCCTCCTGCACAGAAACATCACAGATGTGTGTGTTCAACAGCGTGTATTGTGCCATATCTTATTTCTTTCATCTGAACCACATCTCCCTAGTTTGCATATGTCTTTTGTGGCTTTGTCAAACATGCTACTAAAGCCAAAATAACATCCATTTGTCCAAGTGACTTAGTGAAGATAGTTTGGTTTGGCAAGGTCAGCTCATGATGGATCCATGCTGGTATTTTATACTCTATTGATTACAAAATGACAGGTAAACAATTCACTCTGTTATCTTCCTGGATATTTAAATTGGGCTTGTTGACCTTTAGCTCCCTGAGTCTTCATGGGTGACATGTATGAGGGCGGACTTTCACCTCAGTACTCTACTTCTTTCCTCTTGTGAGTGCCTGAGAAATGAGTTATTTGGATTATGATGGAAGGAAATAGATTTCTAGAGCCATTATTCACAGTAAACGGACTTTTTTGGAAGTGGGGGGAACAAGTCTACACATTTTCTTGACGATAACAACACTGGATTAGCTATTGCATTATCACCATTCTTACTTGGACCTGTGCTAATTATTTAAGAGTGCAGTAAATTGTGTCCCAGCGCTCACATCTGTCGCTTAATTTACTAGTAGAAATGTACCCAGATGAGAGGGCTTGTATACCATTGGGGGGAAAAAGTGGTGGAGTTGAATAAGAAAAAAGAAACCCCAACCAATAAGCACTTTTAATTGTGAAGCCAAGCTTTTAGCTTAATGCTCATCTTTCATGCTAGAAGAAATGTGTGCTGAAATGAATGAGTCAGAAATGTGTGTTGAAATTATTCAGTGCCAAAGACTCTGGGACTCGGAATCTTAATTATGACATCAGCTTCCTTAATAAGAGACGATTGGAATGTGAAACCATTGTAAGGTGAGACTACAATAATACTTAGTCCTGCTGTTGACTGCACAGAACACTACCTGCATCACAGAAGTGGGTATTGCATGTTGTTTATGCTAATGGTAGTTTCTTTCTGAAAGAGAGTCTGAAGGAAAGTTGTTTGCCTGACTTCTATTTTTGCCTGGGAAATCTTCAGTTTCTCACATGAACTGTTTCTGCGTATGCTGCTAAATAATCAAGCTCCCTTCAAAACTTAATGTTAATAAAATCACAAAGTTAGTGGAAATTTAGTAAGCTGTACTTCATGGTGATGAGAAAGAATGAAAATTACAATGAATTGGTCAGTGAAGAACGAGCAACAGCAGATACTAAAAAAAATAATTTTAGAAGACACCTCTACTTGTTGCTAAAAGCAAAGTTTCCAAATGCAGAGACCTTCCCCCTTGGCTACCTATTATCGCGAAACAATCCCTTTTCTCAGACAGCTCTTTTTTCATTAGAAGGTAGGTTTGGTTACCAGTATTCATGCTAAGTGTAACCTTATATAAAAACCAGGATCCACAAATGAACCACACTTTTATCTTTTTTTTTTTTTTTTTTTTTTTAATGATTGAGCATTTTACAGTAGAATGTAAGTCAGCAAAAGACACAAATTCTAAACGGGAGTAGTTCTAGCGGAAACTGTTCTGCTCTCCTAATTCCTTTTGTGAACCACTTATTTCAAGCAATCCAGTTTATCTTCTGATCCTGTTAACAGTACAATAGTTTAAAATGTTGATCGAGTTAAGACTAGTTGCATGACCAAGGACTATCCATTTTACTGAGAACATAGGCCAGATTGGGTGGGGCGTTGTCCCTGCTCATGGCAGGGGAGTTGGAACTAGATGATCTTTAAGGTCTCTTCCAACCCAAACCATTCTATGATTCTATGAACACATGAAACATATGAAACATATGGAACCACAGAACTTTAAACAATGCTTCTTAGATAACATTTTGGGAAAAGAAAGATGTGATAAGCTAATCACAAAATATATCTGGTACCCAAATGCCAAATTTCAATTAAGATGTTCGTTGTGTTCTAGACCATTATATGAATAGAATATACACATTCTCCTACAGCTTTTTCTTGGGTGAGTCACTGGACTGAAGTTGGTCCTTCCGCATATGCAGGAGAGACAGGATGGAATCCATTTTTGTGAAAGAAGTCATTAAGGAGATGGATGTCCAGGAAAGGTAAAGTTGAACCTGATGTTTTATTTCAGTGTTGCATTGTCAGAAAGCAGAGCAGTGAACTTGTTGAAGCTATGGGGGCACCCAGGAGACTTTGCCAAGGTAGCAGGAATTAACATCTTCAAAGTTTCAAAATTTGGCTGAAAATTAATTGAAACACAAAATTAATAATAAATGAAAAATGAAAAACTGCAGCATTTCCTTTCAGTATATTTTTCATCAATATTTCTTTTAACTGTATTTTTTTGCTTTGTTGCTGTTTACTCCAGAGCAGCATCCAAAACCTGTGACCACACATCCAAAATTCTTAGTTTTTTCAAGGAGATTTCTCACTGAACTTTCAAGGTGTTTTGAGGCTTTTTTCCTTTATACTACAGTCCGAGACAAGAATTAGGTTAATTCCATAACAGAAGATTGAAATTAAGTCCTGCATTATGAGACTCAGACCATACGTTATTATTTTCTGTTAGAATTCTTAAAGCTCAGATTTGCTACTGTCTTTTACCAAGTGTATTGCTACTGATTGCCACTTGATCAGCTATAATTGTTCGAAGGAGGAAGGAGAAAAAAAGATAAAGATGTTCTCTCCTTCCCTGGCATTTCCAGCATTCAGGGATGAGAATTGCCTCTCCTGGCTATGGAAAAGCGTATAAACTGTAGCTGGAAATCTGAGGTCAGATTTCTCTGCTACCATTGGTATAAACGTTTCTTTGACCTCACTTGCAGACAGTGCATCTTTTTACACTAGGAAGATTCATGAGAGTTTCCATATTGAGGCTCAGACACTGTCATCTTTAATGAAGGTATCTAGGCCATATGAATATCTTGATCCACAAAGTGGAGGGTATCTGCATCCCAATGTACACCAACCATTATCTAACATTTACCCACCCTTATCATAGACTCCTTATTCTTTGTTTTCACTCCACAAATTGCCCAACCAAGGTAAAGCACCTAACATGGTAAAGTGTCGTTCTACAACAGTGCTTTCGGCCCTATATGTGAACAAATAATTTAAAAACCTTGCCACTTGCATAAATTAATTGCTATTTTTTTTAAGCACTAACTTTACAAAAGTCACAATTTAAAAGCTTGAAACTTACTACATAATCCGTCCTCACAATCATTAGGGCAGTCACCACAGGTTTCTCCTTTTTTGTAGGGTGTCTTAAATGAACTTTGGAAATTCCCCCTGAAATATCAACATAAGCTATAAAATCACTATAACATATCTAAGAAAAAACTTAATTATACGGGTGCATACGCATTTTAATTTACACTCAGTCTTTGGTTATACATCAGGCAATATTTCTATATGTGTTGCATTTATCTGGGAAGGTTTTGGTACTGGAGGGAGGCAGAATTTGCAGGGGTGGCTTCTGCGAGAAGACACCAGAGGGTGCCCCTGTTTCAGACAGAGTCAATATCAGCTGGCTCCAGGTCCGACCTGCTGCTGCCCTAAGCAGAGCCAAGCAGCGACGGTTGTAGCACTTCTGTGATTGCATATTTAAGAAAGGGTAAAAACTACTGTGCACCAACAACCAGAAGACAGGAGTGACAATACATGAGAGAATCAACTCTGCAGACACCAAGGTCAGTGAAGGAGAGGGAGGAGGTGCTCCAGGCGCTGCAACAGAGATTCCCCTGCAGCCCATGGTGAAGACCATGGTGAAGCAGGTTGTCCTCCTACAGCCCATGGAGGTCCATGGTGGAGCAGATATCCACCCGCAGCCCATGGAGGACATCATGCCAGAGCAGGTGCATGCCTGAAGAAGGCTGTGACCCTATGGAGAGCCTGCACTGAAGCAGGCTTCTGGCGGGACCTGTGAACCCATGGGGCACCCACGCTGGAGCAGATTTGCCGACAGGACTTGTGACCCTGTGGGTGACCCATGTTGGAGCAGTGTGTTCCTGAAGGACTGCACCCCATGGAAGAGTCCCACTCTGGGGCAGTTAATGAGGAACTGCAGCCTGTGGGAAGGACCTGCATTGAAGATTGGGAAGGACTGTCTGTCCTGGGAGGGACCCCACGCTGGAGCAGAAGAGTGTGAAGAGGAAGGGGCAGCAGAGACGTATGATGAACCAGCTGCAAACCCCGTTCCCTGTACCCCTGACCTGCTCAGGAGGAGGAGGTAGAGAAATCAGGAATGAAGTTGAGCTTGGGAAGAAGGGAGGGGTGGGCAAAAGGTGTTTTCAGATTTGTTTTTATTTCTCATTATCCTACTCTGGTTGATTGGTAATAAATTAAGTTAATTTGCCCAAGTCGAGTCTGTTTTGCCTGTGATGGTAACTGGTGAGCGATGTCCCTGTCCTCATCTTGACCCAAACTCTTTTTGTCATATTTTTTCTCCTCCTGTCCTGTTGAGGAGGGGGAGTGATAGAGTGGCTTGGTGGGCTACTGGCAGTCAGCCAAGGTCAACTCACCACAATATATTACAATGTGAGTGTGAAAATTAGTTTTAGGCAGTTTAAGAAATCATCATTCTGCTTTAAAATTCCCACTAAAGTTTTGGTATTAATTCTAGTCTTCACTGTACTGTACATATTGATATGCCTTTCTGAACTAGGATTTCAAGTAAAATGTGGAAAATATTTATTTGTGATTTACTGTTACAAGAATCAGGATTTTTAGGCAAATGAAATTTAATCTGAAAATCAGTGTCACTTTTATGTGTTTTATGCTTTTGCTTGTTTAACAATTCTTTTGATGAGTGTGTTTCTGTCTTTCCATATTCCTGATACACTCTTCAAACCTGTTGCTCAGCCATGGGTGATATACCCTATCACAAACTTCACCATCTCCCAACTAATTTTGATAACGTAATAAGCTTCAGAATCAGAATCAATACTTACGCAGGGCAGTATTGGCATACATAAAAGTATTTGAATTTACTGTTGGGACAGAAAGAGACAGCACATCCAATTTGATAATTATTGAAGAAAACCATCTGTAGGTATAAGAAAAAAAATCACAGGAGAATGAAAAATATAAATTTGAAAATCATTTAAGTACGATATGCATTATAGAAACATTTGCAATCAAATTAAGTCACTTAATTTACTTTTTTATAGTAAAATATAAGTGCCACCTTGCTGGAAACAAATTTTTTTTCCCTGCTTTCACCCTTGAACCAAAGAACACTTAGGATGTAATGATAATAATTTATCACACATAAACATAAAATGTTTGAGTTAAACCATCTCATTTATAAATGTTTTCATTCAATTAAAACTGTTGAAGATGTAGGAATCATGATGTAAAATTTTGTATCCTGTGTTTCTTGCAGAGTTATCATAAGCAGTTGTCCATCTGGAAACTCTCTGAGTCAATGGAATTCTGTAGACTGTATCAAAGCTCTTTATATATCCTTCCTGATACTTTAATAACTCTGTTCTTCCAGTGTCTGAGCAATTTTCAGGTGTTAGTGTCAATCTTCAGATATTAAACAAACAAGGAAGTTTCTTCCGTTTGTTTCTTCCTGAAGTTTTAAAATACCAGTATCTTTATTCTTTACTCTGAAAAGACATTTAGCCTATTATTTTCATTTTAATTCTGTTACTTTGAAAGTTTTCATCTCGTTTTGTCAGAGTAACTCTCATGTCTCCATTCTACTTATACCCCTTAAAGATGAGAGGGTAAAAGTTGCTTAGCTGTCATATAAATATATATTTATTCAGCCTGAAATATAAAGAAGTTGCATCTACCTGAGTGTAATGACCAACCATAGCACCTTGTGTTTTTGCTCCAGTTCCATATTCAAAATCTTCCTTCTCATTGTACCAGGCCTGAACAACATCTGGCCATGAAAAGGGGGTGGATGACATGAAGAGATTTTCACCACATAGTACATCTGAAAAGAGAAAGATATACTTGTGAGAAAAAGACAGCAAAAGGTGGTGTGATTTCCATGGAAGTTCTCATCCCAGATGGGACAGCAAGGTGTTATTTTTTTCCAGTTCAGTGACATTACTCTTCGCCAATCCTGAAGTTGTCACTTGACCAGTTTGCAGCATGGCCAGCCTGTTTGGCTGGTAGTTTGGTTGTTGACCTTCTGCGTGTCTGTAGATACACCTGCATACGTGCACCACAGATTCATGACTGTAATTTTGCTATTTGAAAGTTAGCAAACTAGTCATTATTCAGGTCACAGCTCAGCAATCTTGGGAAAATCCCAATAGTTCAAAGCTTACTTCAGATACACAAGAAGGTGCCTACACTGTCTTCACTGACTGGTTTTTTTCAGGTCCAACCCTACTGTGTACAAGTCAGTTCTCACCTGGGATTCACCTTAGCAAGAACCAAAGGATTTGGTTTTAAGGAAAAAGTATGGGGACTGAAGGACAGTCAACATCTTACATACAGTACAGAGAGAAGTCGGTCAACACCACGTTGAGCACTGATGATGACTATTGTTGACATAATATGATAACTTCAATATGTTGACATAATATAACAACTTCAAAATCCAACGACTGAAGTGTTTATATGGGCCTCCAAGATAGTTACAGGTTGCAAGTTGCCAGGGGATTTAAAAAATGAGTCTCGTCTTAGATCGCCAGCCAGTTTTGGACCTTCACCCGTTGCCCCTACCTTCTCAGACAGTTTCAACCAGCACATGTAAGATGGTTTCTGCAGTAACCTGGGTCTAGATTCTCTTCTTTCTGATGGATATTTTGAGAGAATATGCTTTCTCACTATGATTTTTTTCACCTACTGAAGAAAATGGGATTTAACTATGTAAAACTGATGCAACTGGGATGAGAGTGGGCTTGAACTTTTCTCGGTTGGTGGATAGATTTATATCTAGAATTTTGCTTTTGTTCCATGCACCAATAAAATCACATTGAATCTCAAAATAAAACCAAATCAACCAAACAAACAGAAAAACCCCCAAACCAAACTGGTCACATCAATAACATGTACGACATTACTCAGCACTCATTCTTCACTTACCGGTTTTCCTCATGTCAGCAGGACTGTGACTAAAAGTACATTGATCGGCCCATTTTTGGGCATTCTTTGCAGCTGGAGCAGACCAAAACTTAATGAAAGAAGAAAATGTTAGTCATTCAGACATGTGCCAATTAACAACCTCTCATGAAGGAACAGCATTTGGAAATTACCCTTCAAATCAGAAAAAGTAATATACAAAATTCTTTTCTTCCCCTTTTCTGGGGAGTAGTGGGAGTGGGAACAAAGTTACTATGCACCCAGGAGAATAGAAACTGGGAAGACTGACGAAGAATGTATCAGAAATAAATGAACAATTTCATGACTCCTTCTTTTCCTTTTCTTTTTTCCACCAAGAGAAAGAGACATTATTGTTCATACAGCACAAAATTTTCCAGAACACTTTTTTCCACCTGCCCAGCTTTTTTTTATATTTCTCTTGGTGCTACCCATGCTCAAGCCTTAGGAAAGGTCTGGAGAGTGAATCTGTGACTAAATAAAATAATGTGACCTTGCACAGAGTCCTGTATCTCTCATAGAGTCCATTACTCATTAAAAATAGAATTACAGCACGCAACTTACCATCTTCATCATGTTGCTGGCAGTTGGATTTACTCCTCTCCTGAAGGTGTTATGTGTGTCAACAACCAGTTTTTGCTGATCTGCTTTGCTAGTTGAGAAAGCATTAAAATCTTCAGATTCCTAAATTGAAAGAACAGGTTATACTTCTTTTTAATTTGAATATAACTAAATCCTATATTCTGTCTAGGAAATATTAAAATAGCAAAATACGAGTATCAACTAAGGAGGTGATCCTTGTGATGGAGGACGTACTGAGATACACTTTGTCTCCTAAGTATCTCTAGGGGTGCTTCCATGTGGAGTAGCATTTTCAGTGGTTCCACAGCGTAGAGCATAGCTGTAATAACACTGGTTCCTGCATCATATCTGCCAACCCTCTGTGGACAGCTGAGATATCCCGGAATGCCCCATGTGCTTGTAAACTCTTAAATTTAGGCAACTGAATGAGTCTTATTTTACTATTATTATGATTTCCTTCATGAGATTTTGAGGAAATAGGATATAAAAATCAGCTGAAGCCAAGAGTGTGCTTAAGGTATGTTCCCCTTCTTCAAGATTTTAAATGTGTCTATCAATGGGTTTTTATTGAAGGATCATGTTTAATCACAGGATTATCACAGACCTCTTATGGTACTTCATCAGGACACAGCACTGAAGAAAAAAGTGTACCTATGTTTTTCATGTCATAGATTTTCTTCCACTCCTGCTGCAACTGATAGCATTTCTCAAACTTTTCATGCATTTTCTAATTTAAAAATAGCCATGTGAAGAACTCAGCTTCCTCTTTAAAATCATTCTCACTGGTCTTCTAGACTGCAGCATGGAGAACAGAAATTGAAGAATTAAGGGGAAATATAGTCAAGCCTTTAGTCACATTAGTGTTTCTGAAGCAGAAGTAGCAAACTTCAAACTTCAGACTGAGTATGGGTTTGGAGGAGTCACTCTAAATGGGCATTGAGTATGTTAGTTTGTTTGAGGGAACCCAGTGATAGATGTTGAGAGGATGGGACTGTGAGCCAAGGGAGAGGCACATAGCTCAGGATCTGTAGGATGAAAAAGGGAGAGAGTTAGGTAACTGCTCCCTGTAAAAGTGTGGGGAATTAACAAGAAGAGGTCTGGCTCTTTGGGAGATCCAGATTACTGAGTCCGTGTATGGGAGCTTCTGGAAAATACAGTTATCTCTGACCCAACTCATAAGTAACACTGTGTTTATAGATGGTTTAGTATGTAAGTGTGGAACCAGTTTACTGCTTTGAAATTAAACAGACTGCAAGGATAAATGCTTTCCAGATCCTAGATATCTAATCAGACTCTTTCTGAATATGATCAATCTGCATATGAAAAGCCGTATTAAGTCAGACCTGAAGCATTTTGGTTCCTGTCCAGAAATTCTCAGCAAAAAACATGGATTCTTCCTCTCCAGTGGATGGAGGCAGCACAGCTGCGAGACACAGGAACACCACTGGCAGAATCATCTCTGAAAAGGGGAGAATGAGGATTTAATTTATTTTTTTACAGAGCTTTCATTTCTGTGAATGCATAATCATAGAAGCATAGACTCATAGAATCATAGAACCATAAAATCCTAAAATAGTTTGGGTTGGAAGGGACCTTTAAAGGCCACCTAGTCCAACCCCCCTGCAGTGAGCAGGGACACCTTTAGCTAGATCAGGTTGCTCAGAGCCCCGTCCAACCTGACTTTGCACGTTTCAAGGGATGGGGCTTCTACCACCTCTCTGGGCAACCTGTCCTCCTCACCACCCTCACTGTAAAAAATTTCTTCCTTCTATCTAGCCTAAATGTACCCTCTTTCAGTTTAAAACTATTACTCCTTATCCTGTTGCAACCAATAGGATTGCCCCATCTTTTTTATAGGCCCTCTTTAAGCACTGGAAGGCCACTATAAGGTCTTCCTGGAGCCTTCTCTTCTTCAGGCTGAACAACCCCAGCTCTCTCAGCCTGTCCTCACAGGGGAGGTGCTCCAGCCCCTTGATCATCTTTGTAGCCCTTTCTCCTGTGCATCTTTCTCCTCTGTATTTTCTTGCTTTTTCTCAAGTAACAAGGAAATGTTTTCTTTCTTTCCTTCTTCTCTCCTTTTCCCATTTTTAGAAGTAAAAACCTAAAATTCAGTTCTCCCTCTGCAATTCCAAATTTCTATGGATCAACTGCTTTGTACATCTCACACTTCATGCTGTAATCCTGGCTGAATACCTTCACCTGAATTCACAGTACAGGAGGACACTCATGCTTCCCTTTCTGTAGGAAGCCCTCTGCTCATTGCCACACTGTAGTACAGCAGGGGTGGGATGCTGCTTTTAGCTCGTTTTCGTGTCTGTGTTAGTCTGAAACTTCCCATTGCCTGCTTTGACTGGACTGCATTGGTTGAAAGGGGAAGGAAACACTCAGCCTGTGTGCAGACCTCTGCACTTAGGTGTCCAAGTCAGGATTCAAACCCCATACTTAATGGTCAGCACTGTGAAGCCTTGCTCACGAGCTGGGGCAGAACTGGCTGGACCAGAGAGGGACCAGCACTGGCTTCCTGGGAAAGACCTGTTTCAGAAAGTTTCTTTTGGTTTTATTTTTTTAAAGACAGCTGTTGATTATATTACAGGTAGTCTGGAATGGCAACAGAAATGAGAGCTTTCTGTAATTGAAGAAGCAACCACCAGGTCCTTGACTCCAAGACTCTACTTGCTTAGGAGACTCAAAGCACCGTACCATCCCACTCCAGTGATCCAGGAAGTAATGCAGGTCACTTCAAAATTCAGGTGCTTAACTGCAATCAGTCATAGGAGTTACATTCATCTTTTTTCTACTTAGCTACCTTGGACAGGCAAGCAGGTGACTAGAGTGGAATTTACTTATTTTGGCATTTTTCCCAGCCTCCCACTCCAAGGGAATTTATGGGCATGTTACCACAGAGTTACATTATTAGCTTAACTCATTATGTTTTGAGGGGCTCATGGTTTTAGTTTTAATTTATTCTTGGGGAAAGGCCAATAGGGTTTGCTGATCTTTTCATATTCAGCAAAGTCTCTTCACCTCCAGGCAACCGGTTTATACAAAACACAAGGTGCTCTGGCTTGCGGAGAACACGTGGGTAAGAAAAACTGCCCTTTTCCAAAGGGTGCAGCAAAGCCCATTCTCCTCACCAGCTTGCTTACATTGCACTGGGGGTGACCCACACTCCCCAGCCTGTAGGCAGGGACGTTGCTCCAGCTCTGCTAGAGATCAAAGCCCATTGAAGTGGACTGTGACTCTGGGCAGCTGTAGCTCAAAGGCCAAAAATCCGGACAGACTACTCACAGCTGTACAATTAAACTCTCACAGCTTTCAAAACAGCGTGGCTTATTCCAAGTACTTGTAGTAGAGGAAAGATCTAGTTGGAAAAACATACTGGTAATTACAGTATAAGTCATTAATTTCTTGTTCTTGGTATTGCCTTATGTCACTTATGTTTAATTTTGACATCACCTATACCTCCTTGAAGTGCTTTAGGATCACAGAAGTTTTTCCTTACTAGCTTTTCTAGCACTTGTTTCTCAGAGCCATTACAAAACTTTGCAGTGTATATGACCTGGGTGTTTAGCAATAAAAGATCATACTCCCAATAACATGAAAAATTCTTCTTTTCACTTAATCTCTAACTAGAAAGTAGAGAGGTGGGGGTTATTTTTAGCTGTACTCAAGTTACAAGCAAAAATATGTCTTTTGAGTGCAAAATGTGATGATATGCAAATAGAAACAACACTTTTTGCACTTAAAACATGTAAAAACAAATTCTCTGTTTCAAAGGAAAAATAACTCTTCATTGAAATTATGAAGCTTTCTATTTTGCAAACCAAACTGAAGAAGCTAACTTAAAGACATGGGCAAAGTATTCATTCACTGTAATATTTTCTATGAATTAACTTATGATTAAATATAATTGGTAATTTAATACATGATACAAGTTTCAAAATGCCATTGGAATGCTTTTTAAGACCCGGTGGATTTCCTGCTCCAAGATATTAACATACTTTTGGCAATCCCACTGATTTCAACCAAATGCTTATGGTTTATGAGATGTAAATTTAATTGCTCTGCATTAATTTCTAGGCACTGGTCCTAAAATCAGTCTCTCTGTCCCCCTCCCCTCTTCCCCCTCAATCAAACATAAATCAGGACATGTGCCAAGTCTTACTGACTTTCCTGCAACTCCATCTGTGTATAGGGATCTGCCACTGAAAGATGGTGCTTTAGCATCCCTAGTTTGTATGAGTTTAGCAAACTTGTGAGAATACGTTTTTCCCATTCCTCTTAAAAAAAAAAAAAAAGGTGTATCCAAAATTATTTGTACAATTGAGTATCTATTACAAAAGAATATCCCCATTATTTTTTATTATCCTTGAAAAAGACCTGAAATGGAATAATACAAGCTGTCATTTCACTTATACATCATTCATTGTTGCATAAAGTCTTACTTAGCAGCCACCTTGCATGAGAATGGTAATTTGCACAAGGTTGTAATTTCCTCAGTCTGAAAACAAGTGGTGAAGGCTACATATAGCACTAGAATATGCTGAACTGTAGCGCTTATTTTTTTGCCAAATAAAATCCTCTTTCTGTGATTGTCCTAAATATTTCAACGTGTTTTCTGACAATAGGTTGCATTTTAATACATGAAAACATTGCAGTACTTTAAGCAAAAAAATCAACCTAAATCCTACCTTTTGTTTCCAGGAAGATCGGAAGTTTCTTCTGTCCTTCTTCAGGTGGTTGTGGAAGTGACTTGAGTACTTCACCAGAGGGGGATTTATAGGTCTTCTATTTCCTGATAGGATAAGGTGACTCAGCATCACAGGTATTGTAAAATCCAAATAGTGACAAGATAGAACAGCACATTTGTCAAGTTTACAATCTTCCCAGATAGAGGTTGTTTGTGTTCCATTATTATTTCCTCTTACCTCTTGTACTGAAAGAGATGAAACACTCCGAAATGAGTTTTGTGTGTTTTGCTCCTTGTATGTGAAATTTGCAGTCAGTGTGAACACCAGGTACAAAGGCTCTTTGCTAATGATTGACACATCCAGTTGTAGTAAGACGTGATCTTAATCTCCAGCAACGCAAATAAACTCAGCTGGCTACCGAGGTGTCTCCAGACTGACGTTGTAACCAGGATGGAATCTTGCCTATTGACTTTTCCATGTGGGTAAAAAAGTCATGCTATGACTTCTTTACATCAGTCCTACAGTGTAAAAGTCAAAGAAGGAGATAAGAGTATTTCTGTAATTGATACTTTTACCCAGTATTGGATAAAGATTAAAAGATTATTGTGTGCACTAACATTAAAGTATGTATCTGTTTTGGCTTTTCCAGGTTGCCATGGTTTAACCCCAACTGGCAACTGAGCACCAAGGGGTCACTTGCTCACACCTCACACTGCCCACCCACCCCTGCTGGGATAGGGAGGAGAATTGGGGGAGAAAAAAAAGTAAAACTCATGGGTTGAAACAAAAACAGTTTAATAATTGAAATGAAATCATAGAGTCATAGAACCATTTTCATTGGAAAAGACCTTCGAGATCATCAGGTCCAACCATTTTCCTAACACTGCCAAGCCCACCACTAAACCATGTCCCTAAGCACCACAACTATACATCTTTTGAACACCTCCAGGGATGGTGACTCTACCACCTCCCTGGAAATCCTGTTCCAATGTCTAACTGCTCTTTCGGTAAAGAAATTTTTCCTAATATCCAATCTAAACCTCCCCTGGCACATCTTGAGGCCATTACCTCTTGTTGTGTCATTGGTTACTTGGGAGAAGAGACCAGCACCAGCCTCACTACATCTTCCTTTCAAGCAGTTGTAGAGAGCAATAAGGTCTCCCCTCAGCCTCCTCTTCTCCACACTGAACACCTCCAGTTCCCTCAGCCGCTCCTCACAGACCTGTTCTCCAGACCCCCCACCAGCTTCATTGCCCTTCTCTGGACACGCTCCAGCACCTCAATGTCTTTTCTATACTGTGACGCTCAAAACTGCACACAGTACTCAAGGTGTGGTCTCACCAGTACCAAGTACAAGGGCACGATCACTTCACTTCTGCTGGTCACACTATTTCTGATACAGATAAATTCAAATATTAAAATAAATTATAATAATTATAATAATTTAAATATAATAATAATTTAATGGTCTAATAATAAAAATAATGATAATAATAATAAATGTAATGGAAAGAAAGATAACAGAAAGAGAAGGAAATCCCCAAGATAGACAAGTGATGCACAATGCAATTGCTCACCACCCACTGACGGATGCCCTGCCAGTCCCTGAGCAGCAATCGTCTCCTCCCGGCCAACTCCCCCCAGTTTATACACTGAGCATGATGTTCTATGGCATGGAATATCCCTTTGGTTAGTTTGGGTCAGCTGTCCTGGCCATGCTCCCTTCCAGCTTCTTGTGCACCTCCTCGCTGGCAGAACATGGGAAA